ACAAGCCTCTCAAGGCTGCGGTTCTCTCGGTTGGTTGTGCAACTTTTTCTTACCACTCAACTTTCTGTTAACATGCTTGGATACAGCACTCTGTGAACAGCCAGCTTCTTTGGCAATGAATGTTTGTGGCTTAGAATTTAGAAGATGAGAAACTTAACATTTTGTGTAAAGTCTCACTGTTGATGTTTGTCATTTCATGTGTAATAGTATTTAACATTTCCTGCTGTTTAACTTTAGCCTATGTGTTTAAACTTTATCATAATGGCACTAAAATAAAAGGTATGCCTAAATAGGCTTAAATCTGATGTCATGGTCCAGTATTATCGCTGTAGGCTTGTATCTCTTCTGCTTCAGGAACAAGTCATTAAGTCTTTGAGGTCTGTTTCCGGGTCATTTGCATATCAAGGCTTGACGCAGGTGTAGGCGACGTCGTCAGCTAGTTAAGAACTTTTATGCGTTTTCTTTGCTTAACATTGGTGATACTTGTAAATGTATTGGTTCTTTGGTATGATTAATAGAGCATCTGGAAAATATATCGTGTATGTAGAAACATCCGTAACTTGACCTGGAGACACCTTCTCGGAATTGGCGGATTTTTCTTGTTCGGTCTTTAATTGCCAGCCTCTCAACTCCCAGGTGAGTCTGTGACGGAGAAGGATTTCTAAAAACTTGCATCGCCATTGAAATGAACTTGTTTTTGAGAATGTATAAAAACTCTAAAGCCTTTTAGTTAACATAGTTGCACTTAGTTTTTCACAATTGCTAAGACAATAAACCCCATTCTTGGTGTGTGCCCTGCTACACACACACACCCCATCCGCTCCCCATTGCACCTGTGGCTCCATGGTCATCACTACTGTTTTGCGCCCATGGGCGCCTGTTTTTTGCCGTGCGCAGCTGAGGCATGTATGTCTCATTATCCAACATGCTAACCAGCCGCCGCTCCCCCCCAATCGTGGTGTACTTAGCGAGCTGTGGAGTATGTTTTTCTAATGCTCTTGGGCGGCGGTGTGCCAACGGGGCATTGACTACATCCAGCTGCGCTTTATCCCAATAGCGACAGCTATTAGAGGGCGAAGCCTATACGAAATAGAAGCTTGGGTTACTGTACGTAACCATCTTTCTCTGTGCTAAAATGTGTGTGTGTGTGTGTTTGTTTTTTAACTGACAACCAATTAAATCTCCAGGTAAAGCAGAAAACGTTAATTAGGTAGGTTACCTCAGTTTGATAACATAAGTAGCCACGAGTTCACTCATCCTTGTAATAAGCTCCTGAGCATATTAAGGACAACAGAAACTAAAGCTTTTATGCATCTGGCAGCTTCTGTAACTTGCTGTTAATCAACGTGTTTACAAACCCAGTTAACTGTATAAATTTGTTTTAGCCTTTTACAACTGTTGGCCATTAGGCTAGTTTCTATTGCACCAATAGCACCAATGTTGTACAGCACTTTGCTCAATATTTGTTGTTTTTAATTGTGCTTATAAACTGACATGACAATAGTGTTTGTTTAACCCTAACAAGAATAAAATACAGGCACCCCCATCCGTATAGCGGTGATTCTACAAAGTGCTTTAATGGATTTGATTGTTCACAAGATGGCGCCAAAGCACGTTTTATACATCGGTGCTCTTGTAGTCGACAAATGAAACGAAAAACTTAACTTGCTGATCTGCAGCATTTATAACAAGTGAGACTTCAAGATAAAGCATGGCAGGTTCTGTATATTGAAGAAAAACAATGTTCCCTGAAGCGGCCTACCACGTGACACGTTTACAGCGTGGCAAAGCATGATGGGAAATAGCGGAACGTTTTACTACGTAAATTGTTAGTGTTTTCTTTTTAAACGAACGCCCTATGACCGGTGCACATGTATAATGTGATGTGCTAAACGCGTTGTAGCGGAAACTAATACCGCCGCGTATTTGTGTGACACCGTCCGTTTAAATGGTATGTAGCTGCATGGCTCCTCTGCATGGGACGTGTACAACTCATACTTACCTGGCAGGGGAGATACCATGATCAAGAAGGTGGTTCACCCAGGGTGAGGCTCAGCCATTGCACTCCGGTTGTGCTGACCCCTGCGAATTCCCCAAATGTGGGAATCTCGACTGCATAATTTCTGGTAGTGGGGGACTGCGTTCGCGCTCTCCCCTGTATTTCATGTGGAAAGTAAACACAGCTGCTTATTTACATGTTAATGTCTGTGGTCGTGTTTTGTACTATTTCAACCTAGACACACTGATGTTTCATTTGGCAGGGAAGTGCAGTAGTATTAGAGAGCAGGAGTCTTGGAGATGTTAACTGTATCTCCTATTAATATGGTTAATTCACTAAGAGATGGTGCTTTTTAGCTGTGGTTTCAAAAATCATTCTAATGTGGGATAGGAAGGAAATTAAACTATATTTTTGCACAAAGTAATGAACTCATCTTATCTTGTGAATTTCAGTTTCTTGATGTATCGATTTATTTAGCTCTTTGTGCCTTTAAAAAGTCACTCAGGCTAAATGACAACTGGCAACAACATTCAACTTTGAAGTGTCTGTAAATAGTTTAATAGTCACAAACCTAAAATGGTTCAGAACAAAAGGCCTGTACTTGTCTGCAGCTCAAAGTATTGCAGCTGTCGCCAGCTTTCTCTAAACGTAGTACATCATTATCATGATGTTAATTTTTATGTCCCAGTTCTGTCAGTTTTGCTCTTTCACCACTTGGGTGAGACACTATCCACAGGCTGTCAAGCCTGCTGTGACCGACTTATAATTTTTCAGACCTGATTTCTTCAGGGACATTTTCTAACAGTAGGCACCACAGAAAACCAGAGCAGCTTCGGTGGCACACGGAGGTGTTTTTGAACTGTGTGTAAATTCACACAGGTGTTAGCTGGTATGCGGTCACTTTGTTGCTCTTTAGGTGGGAGCGATCTTACAGTACATCACCATTTCATGCTACTACAGGACAGACATGACTCCAGCTGAATCCAAAAACTTTATTTATAAATGAAATGATGCAAGATTTAGCAGAGTTTAACAGAAAGCATTAAACGGATGTTTTTCATAACAACATACATGATGAGCTCTAGATATATGTAGTGTCAGAACAGCTTTTGTGAAGTGTGCTATTTTCAGTGCTCCTACTTCCTGTGTTTCATTCAGGAAACGTAAGATCCTGTGGAGTCCAGATAAGCTGTCATTAAAAAAAAAAACTTAAGTAGATTTTATTTGTTCCCTTCTTTGACTCCAGCAGTCACCTTGCTAGACATCTTTGATTATTTTAATTAACTGCTGATTTACAGATTCACACTTGCTGTAATCTACTGACTTGAAATGGTTAAAATTCTGTTACCAGTCTGTGTCCAGTGGATTAAACCAACAAATTCCTCAGTAGGTATTTTCTGAACAATCAGTAATGATGTTAAGGTATGGAAGTTAGCTGTTAGTCATTACTTTTAACAATGTAACTTGTTTTTCAGGTGTTCAGCTGGTTGTTATAGTGACTGCCATTTGTAGCTTCCTCCTGTCTGGTGCACATTTTGCTCTTCCTTATATCCCCAGCCCTTATTCCCATAATCACCACTCCAGTCATTTTTGTTCAATTGCCTGCTTATACTTCATCTAAAGGTTTTCACCTCTCTGTCCTCTCTTAAACCCAGACTTTTCCCTTCCCACTGCTGTCAGCTTCATCTCGGCCGCCGCAACAGCCAGTGCCCAGGCCACGATGCTGGGTGGCTGGCAGGTTCTTGTACACGGCGCGGCTATACGGGATGAAGCACAGGCCCAGCTGGAGGTGTCGGGCCAGGCGACAGTACGCAGCCAGCGCCAGGACCAACAAAGGGGTGACCAAGAGGAAACCCACCACCAGCAGAGCCACGCAGCCTCTGTCAGTCAGCAGGTCTGAACAGTAAGGGGTTGTCCCATGAGGGCGGACCTGCAGAGATGAGAAGAGAGATGACAAATGGAATGATATGGCAGCATTATGTTGCAGAGGTACAGTAAGTCTCTCAACCTGTGTGGGACCTGTGTTCACTGAGTAATACATTTATAAAGCTGACAGTACATAAAACTGAGAGTAAAACCCCTTTCAGACATCCACCCCAGCCAGGAATTTGCCTGATATTTCGTGTTTAGGTGTCATGTCTGAACAAAGCCCCGAATCACGCAGCCGGCAAAGCTGCTGAACTTTGCTGTATCAAATGATCCAGCACTAATGCAGTATGGAAACAGTATTTGGGTCCTTCTCCTCTATTTCTGCAGCATTTATATAAACTCACATTTACCAGATTTTCAGGCAGTGATGTTACAGTTTGATAAGCCGTGGCACAATTTGGGCAACATTATGTTTTCATGTGTAATTTTTGTCTTTATGTGGACCATCAATGATTGATACGCTTGTGCAGGAAATGACAGGAGATGATGTGCTCTATGTGTTTGTGATGATACAGACACTGGATCATTGTGACATTTTTACACATGTGCATGCATGCATGGCCTCTGTAACCCAACAAGGACTCATTTAGACAAAAACAAAGTCAACATGCAGGATATCTCTAAAACACTGTTGTCAAACATTAGTATTTGTGTGTTAGACAGATTCAAAGATAATAATCAGTGCATATTGTATATTAAAGTTGGTGCTTTTTTTTTTTTTTTTTTTAAGCAGTAACACTGGGAAGTGGGAGATGAGGTGGAGGGGTCAGGATTTGAGCATGGGAGAGGAATGAAGAGACAGCAGACCTGAGCCATTCTTATCACCCTGTGAAGGAGTAAGTGGACATTCAAGCACAGGAGGAGGACTGGGGGAGTACTACAGGAAGAAGAGTATTTATTATAGTAGAGGCCATGCTGATAAGATCGTGACTTGTATTTTTGGAAATCACTGGTAATGAAAACACATTTCTAATAAAGTCAAAGTTATGTTTTGATTCTTCAACTTTTAGAACAAAGACTCACATTAGTTAGTATTTAATAGGAATCTCTATTGTTTAAAGTCTGCAAGTGGTCTTTTTCAGATCTTGGTAGTTGCATATGCACAAAAAGATTGTGATACTGCCCTGACAGATGTAGAGTTACAGCTGGCCAGAAAGAAATACTAGCTGTGGAGGGAAAGCAAAACATTAAAGGGTAAATTGTGGGTGCAAGGGAGTTTTGGGGGTAGGAGTTGTAACAGATAAGACTCTCACAAGTATGCCCATGTTTACTTTTACATAGTTAGGCCTCATGTGTGGCTCTGAGCTGGGTGTTACCAAGAATGCAGTTTTAAGAATGTTCTTGTTTTTGTTCTTGTTTTTCTTCCTACAGTATTTTGTTGGGTGTGTTTCTGGACAACTCAGCGTTGCTTGCTCAACCCACCTTTAGTTCTTAAATGTTCTTCTCACCCATTTTGTTCTTTTGCTTTAT